TCTCCGAGCGGTGGAACAACTCGGCTACAAACGCTTTCCGTCAACGTGAGTGAGGGTTCATTGATGTTGGAGCTCAAAGGTATGGAGTCTAGATATGTGAGTGTGGTCTTTGATTGATATTCTGCCATCCAGGAATCAGGATAGTTGAACTAAGTCAACCGTCAAGCTAAGGGCTGCTTTCATTGTCATAGATCATGCCATGGAAATCGCTTGACTTCAACGAACGACAGTCATGCTTTTGGATCAGTGAGTAACTCTTGTCAAGAGAATACAAGCGCCTTTTCAAGTATAAGGGTATCTGCTCAAAGCCGCACCGTCACCACCCTGAAGTCACCGATGCTTACAGCTTCCAGACCCATTTCCTCCCCCCTTGAGCTCGGTCTGCAGTCGCCTCTAATCTCATCCAAGCCACAAAGATAGCTGCTGCAGCCATCAGAGTACCCACCATAATACCCATCCCCATGTAGTCACCCGACTCCTTGATCTCACCGTGCCCTCTGACCAGGGCACCAGCCACCGGTGTCCCAATCATGGAAGCAACTCCCATGATCATGTACATGATCCCGGTAATCTGCGGCATTAATTCCATCCCAAATAGCTCAACCAGAGCTGGTGGAAACAGGCTGACGTATGCGCTCGCAAAAATACCGTATAGGACTGTAAAACTGACAAGTAACGACCTTGCTACAGATTCGTGGCTCAATCCTATAGCTATGCTTGGAACCCATAGCCCTAGAGTGACGGCTGCACAGATCACAGTCGTGAGAAACAACGCGTTGAGCCTTCCGATGCGGTCTGCCACGAGCCCAATGGCAATCTTGCCCACGGCGTTGCAGGCGTTGTTGACGGCAGTCAGATTGGCACCATCGCTGTCAGAGTATCCCAAGGTCTTGGCGTACGATGCAAAGAAGAACGCCGGTGTGTAGTATGCCGCGCTCTGGCAGAACATGCTAAGACTCTGCGCAATGAACTTACGTTGCTTAAGGGTCTTCCATGGAGGCAGGGGAACCTTGAACATCTTCTTGAGTCTAGATGTCGTCGCGTTCTCACTGCGTATCTTGGCCGCCATTGCAGGTTCCCAGGTGAGGACCGCTCCACCTGCGCATACAACCGCAGCACCGAGAGCGCCAGTCATGCGAAGAGTGTTTTGGTAGCCCAGCTTCTCGATACATGCCACGAGCACCGGGGCCCAAACCAGACCGCCGACACCGCTGCCCGCAGAGACGATGCCCATGGCTAACGCCCTGTGCTTATCAAACCAAGTCGGCACGACGACCATTGAAGGTACGAATGAGAGGCAAGATCCCACTCCCATCAGGAACCCCTGCGTGATCTGGTAATGCCACAGCTCCCGACCGAAGCTTGCCAGGACGTTGGCTACTCCGACAAGCAGACCACCTGCGCACATGACTTTCTGGGGACCAATCGTTTTCGACCATGCCACAACGACAGGTGCACATATGGTCATCATTGAGATCGCAAGGGTTCCGATGAGGTCGAGCCGGGCGGCCGTGGCTCCAGTGAATGGGGTGTTGTCTTGTAAAGCCATCGTCTCGTAGTGCGCCTGATAGATGCCGAAGCCGAATTGCAGGCCACCTGTCATAAAACTAATCATGAACGCAGCAACAACGACGCTGATGTAACGGCTAGGTGAGGTCAGCCCCTGTCTTTGGACTAAGGTGGGATTGGTGTGGTGATCGCAACAGGGAGCAACGACCTTCAGCCTACCCTTTGCCATGATCATGTTCTGTGTCGTTCTGTTCCGGAGCTCCAGCTTCCAAACGGTTGCTTGATATTGACTCGTCCTTGTTCAACGCCATTGTTGTCAAAAAAAAAAGGAGGGTGGGATTTCGGCGGGGGTTGAGTCGACACTTGGAAAGAGATGACCATCTAGGGGTTCTCTCAGACGGTGATTAACTAAAACACGAAGAGCCAATTGGCAGCGAAGAACAAACGCATAATCAACAAATGTCATTGAATTTAAAAAGAAATTCGAATGCTTGAAGTATTTCAAGATGCGCCCTTCGCTAGTCTGACGTGTTCTACATCAAAAACGGGTTGAAAGATTGAGACATTGTAGAGCCCCACAACTCTTCGCTTTTATTCACCAAGTGAGTCATGGTCCCCCGGCAAAGGCTTCGGCAACTACTTGATAGGCAATCTCACTAATGCATCGCTTAATTGTCTGGGTATAGTTCTTTCTAGCGAACAGACTGAGCTGTCATTTTGGTACGTAATAGGGAGTTGATTGCTCTCAAGTTTCTAGTTAGAGCTTTTGCTTGCGCATTTTCCTCCTGCATTGTAGATCCCTTTAGTGGAGCTTCTTAGCCGCATAACCGTCGGGAACCACATACAAGAGAACTACAAGTCGAAGCACCGACTATGAGGGAGAAAGAGAAGACAATAGTAGTCGACTAGATACTCTTGATCGCAGTCTAGCATCAAAACCACAGACCAGATCGCAGGGCCACCATGCAGACAGAGGCATGAGCTTTTCTTGAAAAGTGGAATCCTAAGTCACGATGAAAGCTCGCAAGCATTGTGACTTGCTTAGAGCTTTGTCCACTAGGCCATACAGGGCTATATTCTTAACTCAGTGTTCGGCGTTTTGAACTACTTGACCTCATGATTCATGTTTTAGTTCTGTTAAACTAATTCTAACTTTCGTGCAATACCTCAAGTTCACTGATTTTTACATATGGCAGCAAAAAAAAATGAACAGTAGCATGTGCTAAGAGACTACAACCAAGTCATATGTTGCACTAGTCTTACTTACTTTTGCTCTTGCCAGACGACTACAAAAATTAAATTGTTATGGACTTACACAATTCAGGGCATAAGCTGCTCGAAGACAGTTCCTGAATGGAAAATTTTCTTGATGCTCGTACCGACTTGGGAATAAAGAATGCGAAAGATGCAAGTGTATTCTCTGTATATTGAATTGTCAAGACATGTCGCCTACTTGGTCTAACAACATTCTTTGCGTAACAAGCTGTCTAAGGGATATACAGATAGTAAATCAATATCTAAGAATCAAGGAAGTCTTGTTGTCCAGAAAGTCTAGAAAGTACTGGCCAGAAACAGACGATGAATATGTCCATTTCCAATTCCAAGTCGATTTCGTGTTTTGAACCAGCCGAGAGAATCCATCGTAGTGACTGATAACACTACTGGCAGCCAGGGCAGACGGCCTCGACGTACTCAAGGTACTCCTTGGCGTAGTCGACGTTGCTCTTGGACGCGGAGCAAGCGCGCTTCTCGATCTGGAAGAGGTCTCTGGCGGAACGTCTGCGCGTGCACGAGGCGAACTGCGACCAAGGGGCTTCGCCCCAGGCCTGGTGGTTGGGCGGGAAGGCGGCGAGCTTGTACTGCGCGCCTCCGGTGCCCATGTTGCTGTAGATGTTGCCCTGGTAAAAGGGGTTCAGCTCCTCCTTGCCCTTGACGCCGCCGCGGACGGGGGTCCAGCCGATGATCTGGTTATCCTTGATGCCTCCGAGGGCGGCAAACTCGGCCTCTTCGGGGTACGGGTTGTACTTTTGGAGGGTGGCTTGGCAGTCAATCATGTTGGGGGCCGAGTGGATGCGGTAGATGAAGCCGTTGCCGCCCAGGAAGCGGCTGACCCAGGACTCGGCTAGCTTGGGGTCCGAGGTCGTGGACACGTAGCCGTCCTCGTCCTTGCTGGCGCCGCTAGGAGCTCCTTTGACGTGGTTCCACAGGCTGGTGTCTGGGGCGGCGACGCCAAAGGTGGATTGACCCTTTGGCAAGAAGCCCTTGGAGGCCTGGATGGTGGCGTAGTTTCTCGAGTCTGCACGGTAGAGGTCGAGACCGTTGCAGAGGAAGGCCCAGAAAGCAATGAGCGTCAGCCCAAGCATGAGAGGTTGTTGTCTAGCCATTTTTCAATGATAAAGAGAGGCAGTTGAAAAGAATGTGAATGTTTTTGAAACGATTGTATTGTAAAAGAGTGTGAGATCAGAGGGCTGGTAGTGTGCTGATTCCAACTTGAACATGATTGCGGATTTTTGACTGGTTTATATCTTGATTCTTGATCTTGCAAGTCAAAACCGCTTGAGAAGGAATCTAGTAGATACAGGCCGCGGAATCCGGCCTTTCCGCAAGGCCTTCAATGGAATGCTGTTTCGCGTGAAACAGCTGACACTTACACGATAGCTTCAACTCTCGAGAGTCATGTCGAGACCAGTCTAGTATGAATCCAGATGCATAAAAAAACAAATAGATTGGTAGTATACAAAGAGTTCACGGGCTTTACGGGTATTCGTATTCTCACAATACTTTTTACACTTCTGCCAAGACTGTTCTAATTGGTTGTCAGCTTATACTACTCTGCGGGCGATGGAATCCGAAACCGACGGAGCCGGAGTGATTTGTAAAACCGCACTTGTCCATCCCGATAAAATTGGAGAATGAACAATATAATCTGTAATGGCAAGACTCAAGTTGAGGGAGCAGACAACTTCAGGTACTGCTGGGAGAACAAAGGGACAACTCCCTTCTAGAACAATGATCTCCCAGTGTCATGACAGGCCAACCTTGACAATGTGACGATCATATCCTGTTCGTGGTACATTGCCAAGACCCCGATAATTCATCTGATGTTACCCAGGTCTCCGATGAAGCCCGAATGACCCGTACAATGAGAAAATAGGGTTTAAGGCTACGCATGTCCATCCCAGATGGAGTCTTACAATACGCAAATAAGAAAATCTCAAAGAACCTCCTGAGGCTGATGCTGGGATGGCCAGTTTCCAAGACCTCGTATGCATCGGACCGAACAGCAGACAAAGACTGGGCCCAATACAAGTTCATCTTTATAATATCCCCATTCCAAATAGCTCCAAACTTACACATTACATCGACACAAAATCAAGTAACTTCATTGCACGATCCCAATTTCCTTCAATCCATCTATTCACCCAGAACGTACCCGGCGTATCCTATCTCTCTCTCTCAACTCTACCTCTTTGACAAACCACGCGATAACCATGGGCAACTCTTCAACTTCCGTTTCCTCTCCTCCGCCGCCCAGCGAGTCAACATCCAAACGCGTCACCGGCTCCAACTGGGGCGACCTCCATCCCATCGGCAATCCCGCCACGGCGGCCTGGCACCTCTGCATCTCAGGCCCAGACGCCGCCAAGCTCCTCCTCGGCTACCAGCCGACGTCGATGGACGATCGCTGGATGAGTCGTTCGGACGGACCAGACGCGCAGGGCACGATGGTGGTCCATGTGTACCGGAGTTGGACCGGCCACGAGCAGTTTCAGATCAGGGCATCGACCCGAGCAGTTTCGGATGGGCCCGGGCCCGCGGACGCGGCGGGAGAGGGGGCTGACGTCGGGGCGGACATTACGGAGATTATGTGGGATCGGGGTGACGGTCCTGTACAGGTTGGGGAGGAGGAGGCTAAAGACATGGTGACTATGATTCTTCGTCGGGTGATGGGGTGTAAATTAGAGCATGCGCCTTGACTCTCTTAGATTGGACAAATGGGTACTAGTTATTGGTATACTTGGCACGGCATCTTCTCTCGCAACTTAGCTATGAATTAGGGGGTGTCTCTTACACGTAGAACTCTTCTAATCATTTTTTTCGCCCCCGATCGTGCACCCTCACTGCCCTACCTATGGATCCGAGCACGTTCCATCACCCGCCGAGTATCTAAAAGTCCGTCTACCGTCCGTGATTAAGAGTGGGGTAAAATCCCGACTCCGCGGCTTGCGTCTGGCGGGTGATTTATTATGCGGAATCTATTTTGCGGGCGAGGGAACCTTACGCTATCCAAACTGGTTGTTCAGTAATCCTCTCAACTCAAATACTATAATCAATTTGACTTTTTGCGCCTCTCAAGTCTTACCAAGCCTTGCTTGACTCGATGAAGACGACAAAATATCCAAAACAGTAGTTTACTTTCTTCTTTTTTGATTGAGGCAGTGAACAAGCGACTCGGAGGTCGGAGATCTCGGTCCAAGACTCTAAGCTGCAATCTCACTCAACTCAAAACAGAGTGTTATTTCGGGGACATTGTCGGATTCGCAAATGACTTACACCACATGATGCCGTGATGCCAAGATCTATATGGTCGAGATGCCTTCACTTCATGAGTATAAGTATTGACAAGATCGCCGCCATAACTCGATCAAAAATTCCTTCATCACACAGCTCACACTGCATCTTCAAGTCTCTCACTACCACAGTCACTATCTCACCATCACTTTCTTTTACGGTCTTTGACACCCATTCCAATCACTTGTACTCCAACTTCTTCAACTCAACACCGCAAAGGTAGGATACCACCCTCCCCCCCTCAGGCACAAAAACTAACCATAGCTCCCTTCCACAGATGCAATTCTCCACCCTCTTCCCCACCATCCTCCTCGGCGCGTCCTTCGTCGCCGCAGACTACTGCACCCAGGCCCTCGACCCGGAGGGCCGCAAGTCCAACACGGGCTTCCGCTTCGAGAGCGTCGATAACGCCAACTGGAAGTGGCAGTCCCGCGACCTCCAAGTCGTCACAACCCTCAACCAGAACTGCCAGATCCACCAGGGCGGCGGCGGCGGCCCTTTCGCCGCCACCATCTGCATCGACTTTGACGGCAACTACGCCTGCTGGGTCACCCCAGCCAAGAACCAGGTCTGCGATCTCGTCTTCGAGCAGAACGAGGCGCCCATTGATGTCTGCAAGAGCATCAAGAACATTTGGGGATGGGTTGCTTAGACAGTATGTAATTGTAAGGATTTGTTCTTAGTCTTTTTTTCGGACTGTGACAAGATTGCTGACGAATCTTAGCTTTTTCTGTCAAAAGTACGACGCGGCAGCATTAGGACAGAATTTCTCCTTTTCCGGGATGACACCAAGCAAGCTCGTCCGATAGTCTACTAGAGGCTCTGCAGAAGACTTTGGCTTATTAGAAGGACGGACGTGTACCTGGCATCTTTGAGAGTAGAGTTGCTGTTTCTGTTACTATATTGCACAACTTCTTAGAGTGAGAGCGGTAGAAAGCAATGTGAATTATTAAACACGTACAACCATGATCTTTATCTGCATTGAACTTTCTATCGTAGGAGATGGTTCTGAACCATTTGAGAGCTACAATTACAACAATTGAACGATCCGAGCTAATGCGAAAAATCCGATATATACGCGTATCTCGGGAAACACTTACCACTTCCCTGAAAAGGTTGTTTCCTTTTTAGAATAATTCCTTGAAGAGGTTTAGTTAGACTGGTTTGGACGGTCTGGTGCGGGTTTCCGATTAAGCCGGGGACCCCGGCCCGAAGACATGTCGTCGGATTTGAGCCCCGATATTTTTTTCCGCCGAAAAGAAAAACTGCCCCCCCAAAATCTCCAATCCACTTTCGGCCCGTGCGTCCGTCCTCCGCAACCTCCTACGGCATCCTGACTACAACCACATCAGTTCGCTAAATAGACATGCCAAGATGAAGCCGTAGACCTACCAACGCCTTTACTCACTCCAAAGATATCCTCCTCTAAATTTCAATTTGTACTCCCACCCGTCTCGCCCAGAGAAGCGCCAGCAACCATGGCCGTTAAACCTCTCATCGCAACCCTAGAGGATGAAATCCTCGACCCTGAAGAGGGTAAGTCCGTCCATCCAATCTACAACCCAATCATGAGGCCTCGTATCCCAGCAAGACGACTTACACGGGGTGGAATCGTCACCAACGTGCCAACAGAGACATTTTTCCTCTTCTCTCACAACATCCCCTCCTCGAACCTGGGCTTCATCGACCCGAAAGCCACCGAACTCTCCCTGACGCTGGCGGGCAGAGACTTCACGATCCACCAGTCCCCCACGGTCCTCTCATCGACCCGCGCCGGAGGCACGACCGGGGCCGGTCAGTATTTCTATATTTCTCCCCCCCCTTCCCCATCTCACCATCCCATGGCTTTAAATCGGTCATCACAGACCTTCCTCATTTCGCAACCCCATTTCGTTTAACCCCCCCTTGTCATTAATGTCTAAAACCTACTCTCAACTTCAACTTGCTCACACTGAATCATCTCTCATGTCACGACTCTCATGTCACAACTCTCACCTCACAACTCTCAACTCTCCAAAATGACATTCTCAATGTCCCCCAAATGAAACAATCACTTTAACTAAACAGAACAATAATACCAAACAGTCCTCTGGAAAATAACCCCCCTCTTCGCAACCTACCTCTCCTCCCCATCCTCCCCCTTCACCCCGCTCTTCACACCCACCTCGACAATCCTCGAACTAGGCTGCGGCATCTCCCCGCTAACAGCCCTCCTCCTCGCCCCGCGCGTCGCCCGCTACGTCCTCACAGACCAACCCTACGTCGCGCGCATGATCCACCAGAACCTCGAAGCGAATCCCCTGCCCAGGTCTTCGTCATCGTCCTCATCCTCATCCTCATCAACCTCGCGCCGTTCACGCAAAGCAGTAGCAACAGCAAACTCCGCAGCAACAACAACTTCGTCCACAGGATCATCATCATCCTCATCGCCAGGAACAATCTCCTTCCACCCCCTAGACTGGGAACTCGACACCCCAGACCCCTCCCTCACCGGCGTACCCCCCACCACGGCGCGCAGCTTCGACGTCGTCGTATGCTGCGACTGCATCTACAACGAGGCCCTCGTCGAGCCTTTGGTCTCCACCACCGCCGACCTCGCTCGTCTGCGTGTACGTGCCCAGCAGGAAGACCAGGACCAGGACGACGACAACCCCTCCTCCTCCTCCTCCTCCTTCTCCTCCACGGCCCGGTCCGAGCCGTGCGTCTGCATCGTGGCGCAGCAGCTCCGCAGCCCCGACGTCTTTGAGGAATGGATCGGCGCGTTCCATCGCGATTTCCGTACCTGGAGGGTACCGGATGCTTTACTTCCCGAGGGGTTGAGGACCGAGGCTGGGTTTGTGGTGCATGTTGGGATCTTGAGGGAGGCTGAGGTGGATTTCTAGATATATACTGTCATAATGAGGAGCTTCACATCAAGCAGCGTATCAGTATCATGACGGTATCCCCTGGAAGCTATGCAGAATAGTAGGACAGGTCTCACGAAAGGTTCAAAAGTTAAGAATGATGTGTTGCGAAAGCTCCGTTATTGTGACGAACTGCGCATCTAACTTGAAAACTTTTTCACATGGCTTTTGATTCTGAGAAAATAAAAGCCACGTAATAACCAGATCCCTCCCTTATTCTTTGAATAAATTCCCAAATCGCCGCCAGCATGATGAGAAATGTCATCTCTGGACAAGTCAAGATTGTCCCTTTGCAAAAAAGCCGTAACCCAGATTCGTATCGTAGACACGTTACATGATTTAAACTCCCTAGTCTCCTAGTTTTGAAAAGCCAATCCAATTTTTTGTGTTTTTGTTTGCTTCTTTCTTGTTTTCTGTCTCCGAGTACCTTTACCACTCAAGAGGCTCTTTCTTGGTCTCGCCCCGGTTCGTCTTGGGAACGGGAACGGCCTTCGCAAGGAGGCGACCGGTCTTGGGGTCCCTCTTGAGGTAGTTTGTGCCATCGAGCCAGGGGGTGAGCTGGGACATGCGGCGCTCGTAGTCGGCAATCTTATCGTTCTGCTGCATGGTCAGGCCGATGTCGTCGAGACCGTTGATAAGGCAGTGTTTCCGGAACTCCTCAACGTCGAAGGAGGCGAGGGTGTTGCCGTCGGCGTCCTTGATGAGCTGGTTAGGCAGGTCGATCTCGACCTCGCGGCCGGCGCGCGCCTCGTCGGCAATCTTTTCGAGCTTCTCCTTGTCCTCCATGATGATGGGCAGCATGCCGTTCTTGAAGGTGTTGTTGAAGAAGATGTCGGCGTACGAGGGCGCGAGGACGCAGCGGATGCCGAAATCGTTGAGGGCCCAGGGGGCGTGCTCTCTTGAGGAACCGCAGCCAAAGTTGGGACCGGTGACGACGAGGATCTTGGAGCTGCGGTAGGGGTCCTTGTTGAGGACGAAGTTGGAGTTCTCGGAGCCATCCTCGTTGAAGCGAAGGGCGTAGAAGAGGGCGTTGCCGAGACCGGTGCGCTTGATGGTCTTGAGGAACTGCTTAGGGATGATGGCGTCGGTGTCGACATTGGACATCTCCAGGGGGGCGGCGATACCCTTGAGGTTGGTGAACTTGGGAAGACCTGCAGAGCTACCGGCCGAGATGGTGTTGGTGTGGGGTTCGTTGTCCTCGGGCTGGTCGGCAATGGCCTCCTTATCAGAGTCACTCTCCTCGACGCGCTCGTCAACCTGGGGTTCGCTGTCGGGGGTAATAGTAGCCTGGAGCTTAGGGCTGGTCTGGTAACCCTCGAGCTTTCTGACATCAGCCAGCTTGCCGACGATACCGGCAGCAGCAGCCATCACAGGGGACATGAGATGAGTGCGGGAGCCGGCACCCTGGCGACCCTCAAAGTTTCTGTTGCTGGTGGACGCGCATCTCTCCTTGGCGGCAAGGATATCGGGGTTCATGCCCAAGCACATACTGCAACCAGCCTCACGCCACTCGAAGCCAGCGGCCTCGAAAATCTTGTCCAATCCCTCGGCCTCGGCCTGGGTCTTGACGAGACCAGAGCCGGGGACGACCATGGCGCGCTTGATGTTCGCCGCAATCTTCTTGCCCTTTACGATGTGGGCCGCGGCGCGCAAGTCCTCGATACGGGAATTCGTGCAGGAACCGATAAAGACCTTGTCGACGGGGATGTCCTCCATGGGAGTTCCGGGGGTCAGGCCCATATACTCGAGCATTCTGCGGCCAGCGGCCTTCTTGTTCTCAGTGGAGAAGGTCTCGGGGTCGGGGACGACGCCGGTGATGGGGATGACGTCCTCGGGACTCGTGCCCCAGGTGATGGTGGGGATAATGTCCTTGCCGTCAATGAAGACGTCAATGTCGTACTTTGCGTCAGCGTCTGACTGGAGAGACTTCCAGTACTTGACGGCCTTGTGCCACTCGTCCGAGTTGTACTTGGGTGCCAAGGGGCGGTTCTTCAGGTACTCGAAGGTGATGTCGTCGGGAGCGACCATGCCGGCTCTCGCACCGCCCTCGATGGACATGTTGCAGATGGACATGCGGGCCTCCATGCTGAGGCTGCGAATAACGGAACCGCAGAACTCGATAACAGCACCGGTACCGCCAGCCGTTCCAATCTTGCCAATAGCGTGCAAGACAACATCCTTTGAGCTGACACCGGGGGCCAGCTCTCCGTCGACCTGTATCCGCATGTTCTTGCTCCTCTTTGTGATCAAGCACTGGGTGGCGAGGACGTGCTCGACCTCACTGGTACCGATACCGAAAGCCAGGGCACCGAAAGCGCCGTGGGTCGAGGTGTGACTGTCACCGCAGACGACGGTGGTGCCGGGGAGGGTGAAGCCCTGCTCAGGGCCGATAACGTGGACGATACCCTGGCGCTTGTCGCCGAGGCCAAAGTATGTAAGGCCAAAGTCCTTGACATTCTCCTCGAGGGTCATGCACTGGACTCTGGAGTCATCCTCGGCGATGAAGGAACCAATGTCCTTCATGCCTTTCCGCGACGAAGTGGGGACATTCTGGCCAGCCACATGTCAGCGAATGGACCATCACAACGGAATTGGGATTGGGCGGGCGAGAGCGATGCTTTTCGCGCGAGTGCGCGCGTGTGAGAGATTGGGTGTAGTAAGAGACTTACGTGATCGGTGGTCGCGAGGGTGCAGTCCGGTCGGCGGACCTTGCGGCCTGCATTCTTCAGACCCTCAAATGCTTGCTGCAGCCCTTTGTTAGCGAGATGTCATGGTGGGGTCGATCAACCGACGTCATCCGAGCCGGAGTGCGAAGGCGGCGGCGACTGCGGATAGCAAAGGGGTTACGAGGGGAGGTGGGAGGAAAAAAAAACCCCCCCCTCAAAACAGGAGCAAGCGTTAAACGTACAGGAGAGGTGACCTCATGCACGAGATGTCTGTCTGCATTGCGTCTCGTCGTTAGCAAATGAATTCCTTTCCTTTTCTCCGCGCAGAGCCAAGATTCAGATTGAAAGGGGGAAAGAGCATGACGCAGAACTTACCAATGTACAGCAGGATCGTGCCGTCCAACTTCTCATCTACGACGTGGGCCTGGAGGACCTTGTCGTAGAGAGTTTGCGGAGTGCCTTCGGCAACGGGCATTTTGTGCAACTCGGGGAGACGGGGAGAAAAGAGTAGCAATTTCAAAAGCAGGTCTGGTCGGCCTCAATTGAAGGGACCTGGTTGGGTATTGCGAGGGGGGGGTGGTTCCCAAGCTTCCTTGTCAAATTAAGCTGGTGTGAGAGCAGTCGATAGGTGAGGGTGTCTGCGTGTGTGTGTGACTCTGTTTGTATGCGATTGGGAGTCTAGGTAGTGGGTGACGGAGAGGGAGGGTTTGGTGATAGAGAGAGAGATGAGAAGATGGTTCGTGGGAAGAGAGGCGTTTGGAAAGGGAAGAGAGGGAAAAAGGTAGAAAACGTAGAAAAATCTTGAGTCGGAGGAGACGTCTGGTCAGGGGTGTGGGGGAAGAGCAGCTCAATATGTATCTGCCGGACCGGGAGGCCTTCGTCCCTCTGTTGTGTCTGAGGTCGGTGCTTGCTTTGCTTAGAGTTGGGAACACCTGAATCAAATTGCTCCGTAATAAGAGAGAGACTGAGAGAGAGAGAGCGAAAAAAGAACAAGGTACGAAATCGGAGCGAGAAAGAGCTGCCAACTTGCAAAGGGCGACAAGGAAGAGAAAGCACGTACACTTACGCCCGCCCGCCCCTCTTGCAAAAGTGCCCGCAAACCGCAGGTACCTCGAACCCTTTTTTCCCACTACACACATCACACCATGTACATTCATCTAGCTACAAGCTACTCCGTACTGGTACCTAGAAAACGAAACAATCAACTGTGACTACCTTACTACTGTACCTGGGTGAAGCTTTGGGACGAAAAAGTTCCCAAGTGTCCGATGATCGGAGGCGCCAGCTCCAGCCAGCAGTGGGTCCTGGCGACGGAAGACCTCTGAACGCGGGGTACAGCGCCCTGATTTGCAAATGACGCCCGCGGATTGGCCCGCCGCCGCAAGGTGCCCTGGCCCGGGGGTCCCGCATCCCACTTTGAACGCCCTGAGAACCTTCCAAATGCTGCCATGAACATTGAACTCGGGCCATTCCATGGACGAGACCTCAACACACGCCACACCAACCTATCTTAGCACCTTAGGTACCTACTTTACTCCGTAACACCTCAGCCATCTTTGACGGCAACTTCTACAGGAAAGTCTTGGGTGTTTGGCGAGACGGGCAAAACTGGAAACATCCAAAAAGAGGAGCCCCCCATATCCACCGTGGATCATATTCAAGTATGACTCTTTTTGATGCTTGAAAAATCTCTCCTACTCTCGGAGAGGATACCGTTACCTTCCATTGGTATAATAATGGAATACGACGGCACTTGATACTCCACCGCTTGACTACACGTCCCGCACGTGAGACGCAAAGAGCCCGCAATCTGACGAGTAATATGGGCTCCAATGGGCTCAGCGACGCCCAAAACAGCAACTCGTTGAATTCTCATGTGTCCGACAAGTACCCTCTGCTACTTGGGGGGCCCAGTACCGTCTCCGTTTTGTTCCGTCGTTTGCCGTTGCTGACTTTTTTTTTTGTCTTCTCTTTTGCCCTTACTCTGATACCTGCTCGGTCACCGGTGACCCTAAAACTGTTTGTGTGTAATTAATACGGATATACATGCCAAATTCTATCCAAGTACATGCGCCAGCGAGACCAATTGGCAGAACACCGAACGCTGGCGCCGGCATCATTCGTAACCCCCTCATGTACGTAATTGACGCGATGCCGATGCTGCATTGCAGCATTTCAACTCGCTTTGCCTCTCAACGGTCCCAATCTTATTCCAGTCCCCCGGCACTTTTTTTTTGGTGCACTAAAAATGACTCCAACTTCCAGTGTCCAGTCTTTTCACATACGAATACCTAGTGGCACTCACCACCTAACCTTAGCTCCCAAGACCTCCGAGAACAGGAGTACGTACCGTATTACGGAATCACGGAGTATCGCCCGTCCATTCAACCCAAGCAAAAGTGGTATTGATTCGTGAATCAACAATCCCTGAAATCCCATCCTGGAGCTGGATGCAACATCCGCCCGCCGAGGCTTACTCGATGATGACGCTGCAGAACTGCGCGATAACATGATAGGGCCTCGATCGCCGCCGCTGCTGTCGCAAACGCAATGTCCAGCATGAGGCAGCTTCACCGCATCGGCCGGCCCTCCTACGGTCATCCCAACAAGCGCTCCCAGGCTAATCCGGAGAACATCTACCCTCCCCAATGATCACTGCCCGTAACCGTACCCGAGCCCGAGGTGCCGACTTCATCATGCATTGCAAAAGCATACCCGGGTTTGCTCCCTCTGTGGTGCAACTCTGTTTGATTAATGTCTGTATCCGTAGCCATACCGGCATATCAATACTGCGTCAACTCCATCAACAATCCGGGCCATCTACCACTGCATTCGTGCTGCTATCGTCCACCTTGTCCAAGCACTCGAAAAGCAAGGTAATCAAGTCTCGAAAGGGTTGATCTCCTTCGTGCTGCATGCTTGGCCTGCCACTACCCCACACAAGCTCAAACAGCGCCCGTTCGACTCGTATCATGTGCATTTGACGCTGCGCTTTCGGCCTCCGTCTTATCAAACATTCCTTTCCCCCAACCCAGCCGATATACGGAGTATGGCAGACGTGGCGCTTCACCCAGCCGACCTGGTCCCTACAGCGCCGATCGGCGGTTGGTCGGGCTCCAACGCCAAGCTTTCCTCCACAACCTCCCTTTTTCGTCACCACCGGCTGTCAGGAACCGAGAATCACAATCAACCCCCCCAGCAAGCCTTGCACCATCTGCATCACCCACGCAATCCCCTGCGCGATCCGGACCGCTGTCGCCAATAACACGAATCCGCTGCTCAGCGCAACGAGAAACATCCCAACGTCCGTCCAAGTTGACTTGTGAACATCAAGTCGCTTTCTGGCTGGCGATGTCGGATCAAAGCAAGGTGATATGGCTTTCCAATACCATCGAGCCACGCTCCCCGCAATCTGCTTGCCGTCGGTGGCGCACTTTAGCACACGCTTACTCAACACGTCTCTTCTCAAACGACCTCCGGTGTCGCCGCCTTCGGAGTCGCTGTTCACCAGGGTCGTTGACGTGCTGCAGCCAGCTTTCAACCTGGCTTGACTGGCTGCTGACAACTGCTTGCTCTCCGTTGGTGTAGTTTGCCGATTGCCATTTTCCCCATCCATGGCCCAAAACGTCTTCGAACTCTTGCGGCTGCTAATCGCCTCTATACCGTCCACCACGGTGTTTGTTGACTTTGACGGGCTCTTGTTCGAGAACCTCATGATCTTGAACTTGTTCCGCAATCTCCTACTCGGAACAGAGTCGGGAGGAGGCTTCTTGAGGCTGATAGGGAGCGCTCTGGGCGTTCCGCTGACCGAGAGGTTCTGTTTCCGAGTTTCCGCCGTCCTTTTGCCCGAATTGGCCACTGCGGCCCGCGCCGCCCCCGTCGATGCGATCTTGCTTTGGCCCTGCTGAGTGGCTTGCTCCAACACGGTTAGGGGTGATGTAGACATGGACATGTGTGATGTGACAGGGTCCTCGGCTTGGCTCTCCTGCTTGTCGCTGTCGGCCAAATCTCTCGTAGAGTATTTCTCGACCTCCTTGTGGATCGCATCGGTTTGATGCTGGAGAGTCAGCGTTTGGCTTGCTTTTGGTGCCAAAGCCTGAGTCCTTATTTTGACGGTTCTGAGATGCCGCACTCTTTCGGTCGAGATGTCTTCTGTTGACGTTGACATCTGTTCGTCGCATTGTCGACTCACGTGTCGATTCTGCAACATGCTCCAGCTTTCGCTGACTTTTCTCTCGGGTTGTTTTTGGCATAGGCTCGATTGTGAAAGACCTTGGTCGCAGCCAATAATGGTGGTGATGGGTGTGGTGGCAGCTTTTGTCTTGAGAGCCTCCGTCTTGCCTACTTCCCGTTGGCATATCACGTCCTCGTGAATCCTCATCCTTCTTGGAGGTGTTGCTCGGTCCTCGAAGGTGAGACTTCTCAGGATTGACGGCTCTTGGGTCATCTTGCAAAGGTCGTCCTCCCGCGCCTGGATATGCTCTCGGACCAACGTGTTCTCCTGGAGCGGCGGGCTTTCGAGGTTGATCTGGGATGTCAACAATGACTCTAATGGGGATATGCTCGCTGTGATTGGTAGGCCACGAGTCTTGGCTGCCCGTTGGTCGTTGAGTTCGTGAGTTTGGATCAATGAACGGCAAGCCAATCCTAGTGGCGCTGCTGCCATTTCCTCCTCGCCGTCCAGGGCTTCTATATTTCGGATCAGTGGGATACGTTGTCTTGCCTCCCAGTGGGTTAATGTTGCCCGCTGCGGGTGATCCAGTGCTGGGTGTTGGTATGTTTCCCGCAGGATATGACCTCTCAGGAGGTTTGTAGGCGTCAGGCTTGCGCTTACTGACACTGTCCTCGAACGGCGGATGTTGACTTTGTCTAAAGTCAGAGACAGGTTTCTTGAGAATTCCTTGCTGTGGTATCCCAGCGGATCCTGATCTTCTGCTTTCCGCAGAGCCATCGGGCTGGAAACGGCCCGGAGAGCTTGCCGGCCTCCCGGCTCTGTCTCTGGGCGTCGCTGGCCTAAAAAAGACACCGTCTTTTGAGGCCCTTGTGGTATGGGTGGCAGCTCCTTTTCCATGGCTTTGCCCCTCTGACTCTGACCTTTGGTGACTGGTGTTTGGGGGCCGAAGTGACGAGGCCGGTTCTTCTCACTGATGCTCTGAGGAGAGTTCAAGTTTCCAAACGGGAGCGGCAACTGCGTAGGCCCTCGATCTCCGCCCATAGTGCGGCCGTTTCTTCCGAATTCCTGAGCCGTGGTGGATGCCGATGATCGTCTGCTTTGGGGGTTTCGTATCACAGTGTCAGATGAATCAGCATCGTTTTCTTCCGAGATGATATGTTTGGGCAAATGAGATTTGGGATCATCATGACCCATCCCCAAACGATGAGCGTTTGTTTTCTCGGGCAGACTCCGTGCGTCCCTCGCTTCAGAACCTGATTTACTGGTCAGTACGTCAGCTCAATGTCGACACAATCTAGCTTACCGCGAGTGGATACGCTCTTGGTTGACTGCGCAATTGGGCTAAGCATGGGCTCTTTGGCAGAAGACCACTGCTGTCTATGGCGTTGCCACTGAACCTTGCGCTGTGCTTGTCGTATGGCCTCCTTTTCTCGATCTTTCCGGGCAAATCTTTGCTCTTCTCGTTGCTGAAGCTTTCTGGTCACCTCTTCTGTCAGTAGTTCGGCCCCGCGGCGCGTGCGTCGAGACTCGGACTTGTGTCTAGCTTCCAGCTTTTGGTCGAGAGTCAGGGAAGCGGAGCTGAAGCTGGTTGTAGATGGTGTCTCAACGTCTAGTTCTCCAGTGACTGGGTTGATTCCTGTGACGCCAAGGTAATCTCCACTCTCTTTTAGAGTTCTGCGCTCCCTGTGAATCAACCGACGTTCTTCCAGTGTTCTCTCTTGAAGATCTAGTTGCTGGCGTATGGGCGATCGTATTAGCTCTCCGGAGGAGAGGCTCAGGTTCAGAAGATCGGACTTTTCGAGAACGGCCCAGTTCCTTGGCCGTGTTCCAGCGTGTGATGCGGTCAGAGCTTCGACCTACTCGAGGAGGACTTGTTGGAGAGTGTCTAGATCTCGAACGAGGGTTTTCGGCGGTTTCCTAGTACCCTTGGTTCCGATGGGTGCTACCCTTCTCAGCCCGGCGGCTTGGAAGGACGGCCCTCAAACGCGCGCTTAGATTTAACTTCCGGCCAAACCCTTCGGAGACTTGCTGTCCTGGACGTCGAGATAAGACTCGAAACGATGGTGCATCGGGCGGTCGACCGGTGGCTGGAGCTGAGTGGGTTGACATAATTCAATTCGAGGAGATGCGGGGATAGAAATGCTGCATAGTAAGACAGATAGAGAGTAAACAAACAACGATGCGGGCAAAAAGAAGTCATGAACCCGTTGCCAGGTGTGTCCGGCGGCGATGTAAGAGATCGGAAATGATGGGTTGCGGTTGGAAAGGGAGATCCTTGCTCAGAAAGGGACGACAGGTTTGAGCAGCCAATGTCAAAGAGGCGCAACGACTCGACGAACTGCTGCTGCTGTCAACCCCTGACTCAAGGTACAAGGCAGTTGCTTGTAAGTTGGCGACACTCCTTCCCCAGCATTTAACCAACTCAATTGAATTTCTCTCTTTCCCATCCCCTTTCCCTTCGTGCTTCGCCCTCTTCTTTCCATTGTTAGCTGTTCCAGGGCATCCGTCATCTACGCCTTCACAATGGATTTCCACCTCTTCGGCGAATTGCCTCCAGAAATTCGAGCTGAAATTTGGAAACTGTCACTACCTGAAATCGAGCCAGAAGTTTGCATCGTTCCGTCGACATGCAATACACCGCAGTCGTTGCTGGTGTACACTGCCTTCCCGGTGTTGATGCATGTTTGCCACGAATCTCGCGAATTCGTCCAGAATGCCAGACTGAGTGGAATCAATCTTATGCGTCCGCACTCGGCCATTGACACGATTGATTTTCCTGTGCCATTCCGATTCTATCAGCCAGAAATGGACACTCTGTTCTGCCAGAACCAAGGTCCGGCATCTTTGGAAGATATCGCCAGCGAGGACGATTTCGAGCATGTTCTTCAAGAAACAAGGCATTTGGCCATCCCGGGCGAAAAGGAATTCTTGGATCTGGTAGCCTGGGTACTCACATTCTACTTTCCGAAACTCGAGACTCTGTCAGTGGTTGTCGGGGACCCCTCAAATGGCTCTTGTTTTGGCTCCTACTTCGACGCACCAAAGACACGCTGCAAGCTGCGCCAGATATCTGCGGGAGACACACAGATACACAACGTTGATGTAAAAGATCTTGACGGAACTCAAACCTGGGACCCATCGCACCTGTCGAGATGCATGGTGGATTACACACAAGAACTCGAAAAGATCATCGAGGAGTGTTTCAAGGACATGGACAGAACGTTACGAAAGGCTCATCGCTGGTGGAATCGTGAATCGAAGACTTTTAGAAGAGTCCAATACTTAACCCAGACATTTGTTGAGTACGAAGTAGGAAGCACATTCCGCTTGGGAAGCACATCGTAGCGCAAGCATGTTAATGAGATTCGGGTAGCAATGAATGATAGAGGGTTCCAATTGGCATCACTAGACAGTTCCTTCCAAGAAACCGAATATACCTTATCCATCACATGAGGTGTACATTCTTGGATGCGCTCCGGTGCTTTTTGCCAGAGTAATCTTTAAGGAGAGCAGGTGCAACGCCTCCAACGTATCTGCCTTCTCTCGAGGCTCTCGTCGAGCATCCACAGGTGGCTTCCTGCCTTATCAGACTGACATCTTCTCACAACGCTCCTCCAATTCCCATATTCCTTCCTCCTTCCCTTCCGTCTCACCACCTCAGCATAACTCTCCTGGCAGTCTTCATTCTACGCTCCGAAATCCCTTCTCCTCATCATTCATCGCCATCATCGTCTCCTTTCTCTTGGCCGGGCTTTAGGATCAATCCCTCCATCTCTCCACCCAAACCGTGCGTCGCGCCTGGTAGTCTCTGCTTCGACTCGGTCCAGACGCCTCACTTCTACCAACACAGATCGGATCTTCACCAACCATGACTTCCTTCAGAAAGTTCCCTGACCTTCCTGTCGAGCTCAGGCAAACCATTTGGAAAATACATTCTGCCCGACGACGACGAACCAGAAGTGTGTGTCGTCACAGACCAATCGAGAGATACGGTCTACACAGCCTTCCCTCTCCTCATGCACGTCTGCCAGGAGTCTCGCTACTTCGTACAGAACTCAAAAGTGAGCGGTATTTAATTTTGCTTCTCTCAAGAAGCCGAGTGCTACGTGCCCGTCAGAAAATTCCGTCCCGAGCTGGACATAGTGTATTGTCACGACGAGGAGACGGTGGACCTTCTGCGGCACGGAGACAACATGTCTGTTGGACAGATGCGCCACCTGACGGTACCATTTTGTAGACGGCTCCTCTCATCGATTGCACCCGCCATTCTCCGCGATCCCAATTTCAGACTGTTGCGCATCGTATCGATTCTGGTTCTCCGACCGGAGGGGGAAGAAGAGGGTATTGCATACGGCATTCCACGACCAAGACGGCGACGCAAGTTACAGGAAGTTCCAACTTGCGATCAGTACCTTTCGGGCACTGAAGTGTTCACCAGTCCCGAAGAAGAAATTCCAGAGTCTTTACTACGTTTGCTGGAGAACTGCTGGTGGGACTTCAACGAGGACGCTCAATCTCTTATTGACGACGCGGCAGACGCAGGCGAGGCGATCGATATGGAGGCTTGTGGGGAAGCTTGGGACAAGGAAAGTTCACGCTTCCGAGATCTAGATGTCACTGCCCTGCAGTTTCTGAAGTACGATCCGGGAACATGGAGCAAGACATAGTGAGGAATTCAAACAGCAACGAAGGGATAGCCAAAAGGCTTGATGAAGACGGGAACTAGAGATTGGCAAAACATCATTTGAGGAAAGGCATTAAGTGTCGACGTTGACCACCTTGCTCATTGTTCTACTGAGAAGAGGTGAAGCAGCCAGCATAGGTTATGGAATTCGCATTATCTGCTATTCTTCGTTTCTATGTATGCAAAGGCTTATCAAAAGTGTCTAACTCCCCATAATCCATGCGAGCAGATTGAAGCTGGAAAGGCCGTCTTATACACCGGAGCGGATATATTCACTGGATAGCACGCGCCAATTGGAACGAAATGCGGGTGCGCATCTGTATCTCTCGCTGCCGCAGAGGTCAGAAATCAGGAGAGCTTCCCCCTTTGGCAATGGGAAGTCATAGGCGCCGTCGTGGAAGTAGAGTGATTTCTAAATCCGTCGTCAGTCCTCGTCGAGGCTGAATCTAGCAACACTGACACAAGTGTTCAGGACGAAGTATTTAGCTGAGTGACCTTGGCTAGGTAGCCAACGTCAGTAATAACAGAACGAGCTCACTCACCATCACGAGGCAGATACAACCACTGCTGTATCCTGAAGAAACTCTCAGAGGTGGCAATGTACAAGGCCACCAATTCGCCAAGTTGCAAGTTGCTTCGCGAGAACTGTGCCGGGAATAATGCGCATTCACAAAGATAAAGTTGATTGAGAAGAATACGAATTGAGCCTGAGACTCGAATAGTTGATTAACAAAGAAGAACGCCGGCCCAGGAATAAACCATCCGCCCGAACCAGCCCAACGCCGCCATATGCTGCTGTAAATAAGTTTGAAGCCATCAAGCAAAAAGTCTCCCCGAGCAATTTCACCCATTTCTCATGCCACATGTGTCAGCCCCTCTCAGTGGAAACCCGACCATCTAGAAGGATACCGTTCCCCTTGTTGATTGCTCCTGTTCCTCTTCGCGCTGGCAAAGGGATTGTAATCGGGAGCACTCGTGTGGTCGAGAGCATCTGAGCCAGTCGATCTTCTAGTCTCTGACTGCTTCAGCGGGCTTCCTCGACGCTGTTCCCGAGCAGCCATTTCTCTCGAGTTCCGGGGCGACATGAAGCCTTGGTTCATCTCATTGAGACTCGAAGTCTTCTTGAGTGGCGAGTTTGCGTGGTTGAAAACACCCAGGTTTCCGCCGAAACTTGTTGCTCCGGTGTTCGTGGACGTCGACGTTGACTGGTACATGGGTGCTGGCGGGAGACTTTGACGGACCGAGCGAGTGCTAGGCACAGGGGTGAAGGACTCGGATCGCCTGTTAGACGTCGGAGTAAAGAGGCGGGACGCGAAGCTGCTAATGGGAGGAGTGTGGACTGGCTCCTCCTGCTTGACGTGAGGATTGGGTGTGACCACGAACTCCTTCTTGATGACTGTTGTAGGCGTTCCCAGTTCGACAAAGGACTCTTCATCCTCAGCCTCTTCAGGCGAACACTGTGTCCCGACATCGCGAACAACCGGGTGAAGACGTGGCCGCACGAACTTGGTGTCGTACTCGTGGAGGACCTCCTTGTGAATGATGGCGGTATCCTTGATCTGCTGAGCGTACCGAGTTTGGACGAAAATCAGCTGGACGGAAAGAATGAGTTGCAGCACAATGCAGTTGAAGACAGTGACGCTTGGTCGGGGATCCAAGGGCACCAGAGGGAGAAACATCATGTAGACGAGGACGTGGCCGGGGCTGAAGAGGCAGAAGAGCTGCAGAGAGACCGGAAGAGGGTCCCAGACACTAAGCTCCCAAACGTCATGTGATCGGTCGGGATGGGCTCGCGACTCGGCAGTCTCGGAAGACAGGAGGTTGTTCAAGAGTCTCAGGGGCGAAGAGACGGCCGGGTCAGACCTGGCTTTGACTCGTTGGGCTGACGGGGTATGCGGCTTGTCTTCGACGTTGACTTGAAATAACCGGTACTGCCTCGTCCTCGACATGGTATAGAAGGCGTTGGCGACAGATAGGAGGCCAAGAATCCAAACAAGGGGCCGCACCTGAGGACTTGTTAGCAAGCATGATGCGAAACCCATACATTCTCAATGTTACTGACAATGTAGGTGACGATGCCCCCGGAGCTCCCATCGCTGAACACATCATCCTCGACCTCCGATGCCACGCAGTTAGCTCTAGCGAGGAGAAACATGAAGTTGCAGCCGAGTCCAAGCTGTGTTCCCAGTGCCTTGGAATCCCAATCTCTCGTCTCCAATTCTTCCGACAGCCATAGCAAGAAGTCCATGGGGTTCAGCATGGCCTTCAGGCGCTCAGAGAGCGGCTTCTTTCGCACTAGACGCGGCATCTCGTCGGGTTGCGCTTCTTTCCATCAACTGGCGACTTCTGGGCGAATGGAATCCTGAAAGCCTTGGAGGCGATCGCTTCGTGGTCGATAGAATCGAGTGGTGCGTCGGTGTCGTTTGTCGTCGTTGTCGTCGTTGATTTCGTCGCTAGGTGAAATTGTTTACAAAGAAGTCTGGGTCTATTGATTTTTGGGCCATTGTCCCGCTGCTAGGCAGGAGGAGCTTTCGACAGGGGTACCTTCCTTCTGTGCATGGACTGTAAACTGAGAGCACACCTGGGAGATACGTACCGGAATGTGCAAGTGGGGTCTCCACTGGCTTCTGTCGCAGCACCCACACCTTATCCGAGCCTGTTAGCAGTTTGGGCTCCAGCAGGCTGTACCTGGCAGGACAGCGCTAACAACATTTCAGCCACAGTGAGATGCTGGAGTGGAGCGCTGCCAACCCGCCGCCGGGTACAGGTAATCAAGGCAAGTACGTCAATCCGTCCGCCGACCTCCTGGGCCATCGCAAGCTCTCCAACAACCGCACAAGTCATCCAAGATGGCTTCGCAAGCAGATATGAAGGACCGCCAGTTCCTCGCCGTTATCGGCGACGAGGTAGGACACTCTGTGTATCCGACACCGCGAGCGATTACAAATGGCTAACACTTAAAAACTAGGACTCGGTCACCGGCCTCCTCCTCGCTGGCATTGGGGTGCGCTCTTTCGACTCCACGACGATATTGATTGCGGCTCGAGATAACTAACAAGTTTACAGCACGTCAGCACGGGCGCCGACCAAGAAAAGAACTTCCTGGTGGTGGATAGCAAGACGGACACCGCTACGATCGAGTCTACCTTTGAAGCCTTCACTTCGAGGAAGGACATTGGCATCATCCTCATCAACCAACACGTCAGTAGCGATCGCGGGGAGGAAGCCTTGTGCGAATAGGACATATGCTGATTGAAAGAACAGATTGCCGATCGCATAAGACATCGAGTCGATACCTACACTGCTGCTTTCCCGACCGTTCTCGAAATTCCGAGCAAGGACCACCCGTACGACCCCGAGAAGGACAGTGTTTTGCGCAGAGTGCGCCGGTTGTTTGGCGAATAAGCATGTTATTCTACAGATTATGGGGCAAGCAAGGGCAGAGAGGCAAAAGCACGGTACGCCGGTAGCGTATTCGGAGTTTGGATGGACCATACCGGCCTATCATGAATAAATTGCGAGCTACATGCCTAGCACCGCTACCCTATGTACGTACGCATTATTATGCCGATACTCCTACGCAGAATGAACACTCAAAGGGACCCTCAAACGAATCCATCACACGGGCGAAATTGAACTGCGTTATGCCAAATTCCTAATGCTACCAGTGTTATGAGATGAAGTGAAACCCCAACAGCAATCTGGATGTATCGCTACGTGTGACTGTAACCCATGCCCCATCATCGTAAACCTTCGTATGCTTGTAATTGATTTAAAGCTCCAAGCTGAAGAAGCTCTTGGTGTTGCGCGAGAAAACGACTTGAGCGGTCAAGCAAGTGATGGGGACGTCATCGGCGGTGTAAACGTCAGCAAAGACAGTGTACTTGCCCTGAAAATATGGTCAATGATTTGATAGACGGCTCGCACAGACGAGGCAAACTTACGGAGGGGATCTCGTTAGGAAGCTCGACGGACTTAGTGACGGTGAGAACACCCTTCTCGATGGGGCACTCGAGGTCAACGTTCTCGATCTGCTCACACAGGTCCGCCTTGGTGCTGATAAGGCGAATGAGGCCGTACTTGACCTGGAGGAGGACGTATGCGCCCTTCTCAATGTTCTGCTTGACGGTGCCGGAAGCCTTGATGACGAGCTCCTTGCCACTGAAACACCATGTTAGCTGGCTGCCGTTTCACGATACTGCGGTATGCATCGTTATAGACTGGAGCTGCTGCAAATAAACTTACGCCTGAGGAGGGTTGGGAGAGAGGTCTACGCTGTCGATTGTGACGATGTCCTCATCGTGGGACTTGGGGCAGAGCTCCAAAGGCGAGTCGCCGGGGACCTTGAGGTCATCATTAACGATGACGGACTGGTCTCTCTGAACCAGGACACTGGCACCGGCCGGTGCGAAACCGGCGGAGAGGAAGGCGATGACAGCTGTGGCGAACCTCATCGCGGGTAGAGGTTCAGGGTTGTTTGGGGGTGATTGGGAAGATGGGATATGGGCGGTTCGAACAACGGCGGTCTCGACGTCGTTGATGATGCTCGGTGTGAAGTCGTCGGCCTCCGAGGTTCGATGTTTAGCGTGAGGATGATGGGAGGTGATAGAGAAGTGGTTCCTGCGAGTGGCTTTGGTTGGTAGGTGGTGAGCAACGAACGGGGCTGGGTTCGGAGGGAGAACGTCATGGGGACAACCAAAGATCGATCTGATTGGATGGAGCTAGGTGGACCTTGGTTGGGACAAGCGCCTTTGCCTTCCCCAGCGACCATGGCGACATTAGAGGTACCTTTCACTACATGTCTTTGGTGCAGGACAAGCGGTGCCTTTTCAAAATGTGTGTGCATGGAGGTATAGCGATTTGACCTTTGACTTATATTTCATATGAAATAGACACAAATAACCTCTGACACAATACTATTGCTAGACCATTGCAAGCGAATAACAGAAGAGCCTCTTCAATGATGTCCCAAAAGGTACATCGAATCCTGTCGTCGTCGAGGCACGGGCCACCGTAAAATTCCCACTCTTCTGCTTCGTTCCCCTCCAAAAGATCCCACTTTCGTTATCAACTCCCCAGCTCCAGATTACCTCCCGCCTTCGTCTTTTGGAGATTGAAACGGCCGAGTCGCTCGATTACGAGCTGCGACCATGGAATTGCGTCGCGGATGCCATATCACTACATGCGTATTGAACAAGCCGTCCATGCGCAAACAAGACGGAGCGCCACACGAGAAGAAGCTGTCAGCATTCTAGCCACAATGATGGGCTTGACTTTTCTTTTCGCCTCCGCCTGTGCTTCCTCCTATGCGACGGCTGGAGCCTTGTCACACAGAGCAGCTGGGCTGTTTCGACGGCCTAGGTTTCGTTGGAAGATCCCTGGAACTTTGGTCCCGTGGACAAAACCGAAGCAGACAGACAGCAACCTCAGCATTGAAGGCCCAGTGCCAGCCAAATCGTTCAGGGTCTCTCCATCATCACAAGCCGCTGGCTCCTCCAAGCTCCTCAGTGTCAGAGCCAGAACTGCTTGGTGCGCACTTCGATCCAAGCATCTTCAAGGTCTCGACTGCGCAGGTTTCGTGATTGGACAGAACTCGTCCGCGATTCAAGAAGTCGTGCTACGGCATGGATGATGACCTGAGGGGAAAGGTAGCCACACCAGGAGCCACACCATCTCATGCGTCCTTCATGGTGGGAAGGACGTGGTGCACGGGTCCTTCGGCTTGTCCCAATCAGCCCGGCGTCGAATGCAACGAGCTGGCGCAAACAAGTGCTCGAGTGAACTAGAAAGTGTGGGCAACCTGCTTGGACGATGATTGGGGACCGTGGTCAACAAGTACCGGGCACCTCGACAACTCAGCTATAGCCCCGGCTATCAGTGTCGCAAACTTTTGGATAAGTCTCGAGGACGCGATCGTAGGACAGGGAGATCCTAGCCAGAAGGACACCGGCCGCGAATCATGCCGGGGCCCTTTACGCCATCTGGGTGCGGACAGACGATGGAAAACCGCGACTCTTTGTTTTGTTTGTCTACTCAGTATTTCCTGTCGAGGGGCAGGATGATGGGGTGAGAAAGCGAAAGGATAGTACACTTCCTCCCGTCGATCCCATCACCAAGGAGCATTATTATGAACGGCAAAGGCTCAATGTCGAGCCTTCGAGACCGTAGCGGGCACTGATGTCCCCCCTACGTCGTACTGTACTTGGAGCACCCGGGCGCTCTGGGCAACCAGTCAATCCAAGGGCAACAAGGACCACAACTGCTCGCAAAGGCGCCGCGCGTGGTCGCATTTGGAGGCGCGCATTTGTGCTGGGCCTGAGGAGCATTGACTGAAGGTGGTCAAAGTACCGATACTTCTGCAACTATGGCTTGGTGAGGCAGATAGATGACACCTCAGCAGCCCAAAGGGCCGCCCCCCTTGCCTCCGTTTCTGCGTACACAATCACAGTTCGCAGTAGAGTTCAACGCAGCGTGCCATTTACCGAGCTCTTGGAGGCCAACCTAGTCTGTCTTGGTGAGGGGTCGAGCCATCTGGCGCTGGTGGTTGAAGGGGCATTGGGCGACGGCGTAGGATTTTGGAGAAAATAGGAGAGCAACTAGAGGCGAGAGTCAGTCTACGCTACTCTGTACCGAAGTGTCGAACGGAAGGGTGGGTTGAAGTTCCAGTGCCGAGAGGGGACACTTCGCATCAGCCTGCAGTGATGATGACTTCAAGCTGCATGCTGTTGTCGCCTTGAGTTGACGAGCGATGCATGAGGCTTCGCGGAGAATGTGATGGTGGAATAGCTCCATCTGCAGTCATCAAGGGCCGCCTCTGCGGGCGGTTGACCTTGCGGCGAAGATACCTCTGCGACACGACCAGCGAAAGCTTCCGTCAGCCGTGGGGGTGGGTGATCACGGTGATCAGAGACAGCACTCGAGAGCCAACGTTTGCGCATCCGAGTCGGAGCTGTTTGTCACCTCCAAAATTCCAACGCAAAGTCGCATGCAAAACTGCAGGTCTCCAGCTTGACCAGGGGGAAGGGCGACCTGTTGCAGGGAGCGAAAGACCGGCTCCATGCACGATAATATTAGGCCCTGGCAGTAAGACCCGGTCGGCCATTCCCAGATTGACTTGCTGACCAATGAGAGAGGGCAGCGGGATGTTGAGTTGAGACTTGAGACTCGAGACAAGTGGGAATCGGCAGGACGCGACGCTGCGCCGTGAGACTTGCAGCTGGCGACTTGCAACTTGGGAGAGGGAGGACTTCACCATTTTGGGTTTTTGAAAGGAGCATCAGAAATGCTGCCCTTTACAGGTCGGTCCCACTTTATCCGATGGAAATCCAATACAATCCGATCCCACGGCAGCCGAAAAGAGTCACCCAGCCAGGCATATACGGAGATGTACCTTTTCTTCCTTTTGCCTCCTTTCAAGTCCTCAAGGTACCTCGGCCTATTTGTTCTGTAAGTCACTCCCGTCCTCGCTGAGGTGTGTACGTACATGTAACGATGGTTGGCTGATTTTGGTGTAGCGTCCGCTTCGCTTCCGTAGCCCTCGACGCGATGAACTCTCAACTGCCGTATTCGTACCTCTTCGGCTGGAGTCGCTGGACAGTGGACACACAATTCTGCGACGAGAAACGAGAAGCTCTCTTCTTCTGCGGTGGACCAGAGGGAGAGACGAAAGTGGATATTGAACGTGGATGCGAAGAGCATTCGAAGCAGTGGAGCCCAGGGTGGATGACGGCGCCTTTGAAGTCTGCTCATGGTCTCCCATTGGAGCAGAAGCCTTCTCTTTCAGTCTCACCACCTCACCTCTAGGCTCTACTGTGTAGGAGGCTTAACAGTGGAGGGCCCCTCCGAGTGTCTCTCCAGTCTCGTTGGCTTCTTCTACCCCTGGCGCCCTAGCGGATTGGACTTGGGTTGCCCCCAACCGGAAAGTGAGTCTTGCCACCCGCCCAAGCCGTCCGACTTCCTAGCACAAATCAGAGAAGAGCGGCAACTCTCTTACTCGCAAGTCAGGCAGAATAGGGGGGCCATGGTACAAAGGTTTCTTGCGAAACAGCGCACCAGAGGCAAGTCACTCGAAGGCCACCTATTTTAAGAAAATCCAGATTGCGCATAATTGGACGGGCCTCACGTCTCCCTCGGGATGGGATGAAAGCCATGGTCATCCCCGATTCTCAGTCTTGAATTTTGCTGGTTTGGTTTTCCAAAGACGCTACCATGTCTGAAGGCATCGAATTCGACGCTTGTTCAACTGGAACTCAACAAGGAGATCAACAACACGACGCCGACATTCTCCCGCTCATAGTACGAGCACACAAGCAATCAAACCTACGCTCATCTCATACCTAGTCCTCCATCGGCCAGATACCAGGCACTGGCGTCAAGTCCTCCCCTCCTGGCTTGCGGCAATAGGGATTCAGTGCTCACAGTCGTTCACTTCCGCCCACGCCCTCGTATACCTACTCTACGGATATCTTGGTCGTCTCCGCACACCATACTCGGATGCCCTCTCTTTCACAGGCAGAAACCAGCGAAGCAAGGCATCCATGAACCATACATCCGTATGGCGCACGCAGAGTCACTCCCGTCGCGCGGGTCACCCCTCCTTCGACCAGTCCTCGACCAGTCTGCCGTCCCCTTACGTCGGTCGTTCCACCTGTCGCTCCTCCCGTCACATCCGCCCGCCGTTTCTGCTAGGGCCAGAGAGGGTCGGTCACCCAGCTCGCACCAAACACCAACACCATGCTGCCTGCCCATTTCTTTCTCTCTTATTACTCATTAAATCTTTGCATGCCGCCTCTTGTCCCTCCACTCCCACCAGACGAGTCTGCCTCTTGTTTTTGTTCACATCAAACCGACATCCCGTGGCCGCCAGCTGCTCTCATCAAGATGATGAGAGTCTGTTCTAGTCGAATGCCTCCTTCATTTTGTTTTCCTGTACACTTATTGCGGATAGTGTCTTCACTCCACTTTCTCTCCAACAATTTGCTTCTTTTTACCACTCAGACCTGGATTCTTTTTTTTCTTTCCCTCTCCGCCTTCTTCTTTGCCCGGTCGACCTTTCAGGCGTGTCTGGTGCGGAGGGCTAACAAGGCACTCACCAGTCCTTCATCAGACGGGAACCATCACACACTTCCCATTTCTCTGTGTCTGGTTGCGGCCTGAAACCTCTTCTGCCTGAGGCATCTTGAGGCATCTTGGATCTGCGCTAGACGTCTGATTGGACAGCGGTAGCCACTCATATCAGCGTGTCCACCGCCTTTCGGGTTTAGCTTCAAGTAAGTACTGGTACCTCTGTACCCTGTTTTCCCTACACACGGGCTTTGGCTTTTCTGCCCTCGTCTCCCGTCTCTCTCACTCTCTTTCTCATCTGTCTTCCCGTCTCTCTCGGCTCCCCGTCCTGTTGTCGGTCGCCCTTCCCTCCAGCGCATGTCCGGCTGTACCAGGCTGTGACGGCTGGCAG